ATGATTGTGAGGATGGTGCAGGACTGGGCAGTGTTTCGTTCTGTTGTACGTGGGGTCATTATGACTTGGGCACTGATTCGACGGCACCTAACAACAACAAAGCTGACAAAAGATTAAATCTAGAGTATAGAGGGAACTCTTTCAAAACAACGAGGGAGGAAAAATAAGAAAAACAAGGCTAAGATGTGAAGAAATAATGTACAGAAAACTCAAATGACTAAAGAATATGTGAATAGATGTTTGAAGTCATTAGTAATTAAACAAATGTAAGCTGAAACAGAAACAGCAAAGAAATGTCTCTTCACATCTGATGGACTATCAAATATTAGGTAATATTTGGTGGGTATTTAGTGATAGGGAAACCACAAGTATTTTTGTTAACAGTGACAATTTGTGCAACCACTGCAGTGCGACAGTACTTATCAAATATACACATAAACTATGATCAGAAATTCCCTAAGAAATTACCATATCGTTTCCTAAAGGAACGTGTACAAAAACGTTTATTGCAAACTTACTTTTTGTTTGAGAAATTGGAAGCAATCTAGGTTAGTCAGGTCTATTTTAGAAAGGTAGAGACTAAGTTGTTATAGAAGAGATTCCAAAATACAGTGAATCAAACAAAAGGTTGTTTCTCTTAAATTCAGATAAGTGGCTAGTCAGGAGTGAAAGGTCTAGGCTCCTTCTATGTTGTTTTTTTGTGATCTTCCAGGCAATTGTTCACTCAACCACCATGCACTCTTACATGGCGGATTGACTAGTTGCTCTCTAGTACGTATCCTTCCCTTCTACACTTCAGTAATAGAACTTTCCAACGTTAGGCACATGGATACTCATGTAATGTGGAGACTACATTTCCAAGCCCCATTTGTCAAAGGTGGGTAACAGACAATGAGTTGACAATTATTGAAGCTCTGTGGTGCATACAGAGGGGTAATAATTAGGCTGTTCTTTATAATTCTGTATAAGTTTAAAACAGTGTTCTCTGGTTGGCACAGTTAAGGGTGTGCCTACTAACAGAAAGGCTGGTGGTTCAGACGCATCCAGAGATGCCTCTGAAGAACTGCTTCTGAAAGGTCACAGCTATGAAAACCCTACAGGAAGAAGTTCCTCTCTGCAACATGGGGCCACATGAATTGTAATAAATTCAAAGGCAAATGGTTAATTATGCTATACTTCTGTATAAAAGTATAGCATAAATATTTAAATATTTAAAATATTCCATAATAAAAAGTATTTAATTTACTTAAATTGCGTTAAACAAAAGAATTGTTTTGGGGATGACACAATAAAATTTTATTTTCTTTACTCTTTTCTTTGTATTATTATCTAGCTTTAGTTTTATCTCATTTTATAATCATAAATAAGATTTAAAGTATAATAAACTACAAAGGAAGGAGGAAGGAAGGAAGGAAATTCCAAGCTTTAGGACCAGAAAACCTTAGAACATTTTATTTTTATCTTTAGAAATTATTGGCCACCTAGGGCTCTTGCTGCATGACGCAAGCCATGGAAACAAGAATGATACAGGGGAGGAGGAGTTGGCCTTTGAGAGCCCATTCGGAACTACAGCAGGCTGCCTGCTTAAGGGCCTCTCCAGGGACCTCACTCTCCAAGGTCTAGAACTGCAATCATGTCCCTCTGGTCATTGTTATTTGGAAGGCAGAGTAATGAAGGCTTCGCTTCCCCTTGGACAGAAGACTATAGGAATATTCCCTTTCTCAGTAGTTCCACCCCTATATCCTCTAAAGGAAGGACAAAGTTGGGAAAAGCCCACAGAGCCCCACCCATTTCTTTGGCTTTTCCTCCAGTGTTAGAAAGGATGCCATACAGGTATCCCCCCTGAGGGCATATTTTGTTGGCCAAAGGAGACAGATGAAGAAAATCTTTCTCAGTCAAATCCATCTTCTCCTAAAACTATCCACTCTGGAAACCTGTGAGTACACAAGTCAAGAATAGAGATCAGATCCGCATTTATACTCTTTCTGAGTTACCCATCAGAAGGAGGTGGCCACTTACACTCCTCTAGTCTAGACTAAAGCCTCTATCTGTCCATCAGGTGTTCCTTTTGTCTCCCCTCCCTTTTCTGGCTTTTAACTTCCTTGTGTGCACAAATGAGGGTCCAAGTCTAACTTGGTTTTATCCAAATCCACTGGCCCCAACCCAGAGAATAATCTTTTCTTTGCTCATTTCCCCATCTTTAGAATTTCTAATCTAAAATGGACCTTAGAAATCACCTAGTTTTTCCAGATTGTTTTTTATAGACTTTCATGTTAAGTATTGAGATTACAGTGAAACCAGTGGACACCATAGAAACCCTGGAATGATAAGGCCTTGGAATGACTGATGTACAAATCTCTCACCTTCAGACTAAGAGCTTCCCCTTGCTTGACTTCCATGAAACCAGCGAACTCATGTGCTACTTCTGCTTGGGTTGTCATGTTGTTGTTGTTATTTGCCGTCAAGTCAGACCCAACTCATAGCGACCCCTCCTTGGGTTTCTGAGGCAGTGCCACTATGGAAGAGATTGCCAAACCTTCCTTCCAAGGAGTGGCTGGTGGGTTTGAACTGCCAGCCTTCTGGTTAGCAGTCAAGTGCCTTAGGCACTACACTACCAGAGCTCCTATAAGTTTCTATCTAGAACTAGAGATAACTAAGGACACTCATTCCCCCCACCCCCATCCTTAGAGTTTCTAAGTGGAAAAAGACCTTAGAAACCTTTTCTGCTTTTTCCAGACGTTTTTGTTTTTGTTTTTGTTTTCAAATAAGATAACTAAAGATCCTAGGGCCAAATGACTTACTCACAGTGCCAGAAAAAGGACTTCCACCACCATCAGGTGTCTCAATAAATACTCCAATCGATCATTCAAATATTCATTGAACACCATGGTCTATCTGCCAGTTAGTCAGCCAGAGTACATTGATCATTCATGATGCCAGTCAGCGCTCCTGTGGTTTAATTTCAGTTCCTTTTAGGACTGGATAACAGCACTTCTCATTGCTTGGAAGGCTATACCCAATTCCCTTCCTTTCCATCTCCAGTCTGAATAATACCTGTTCTTTTCTCTTTCACTTCTAGGTCTTATTTTCTTCACTCTTACTCCCCACCTTCTCCATCTTGGCCAATAGATTACTGCCCTGAGCTGATGAGTGTGGCATGGCAGGGCTGCCTCTGCTACATCCTCTGCTTGGGTCAGCCCTGGGTCAGCCCTGAAGCTTTACTCATAATACACCATCTCCAAGCATGCTCTGAGAGTGATAACCCATTTGAGTGATCTTTTCCATTTTTGTAAAGAGAAACTTGACTTCTCCATGGAAGTTAGCAACATTACCTCAGTCACCGCATTTGTTCTCCTGGGGCTATCCAACAACCCTCAGATCCAGGAACTACTCTTTGGACTATTCCTGGTAATTTACATCTTGACCCTCACGGGGAACCTGATGTTGCTACTGGTGATAAGCACTGATTCCCACCTCCACACCCCCATGTATTTCTTCCTGAGTCACCTTTCCTTCCTTGATGCTTTATATTCCTCAAGCATTGTGCCTAAGCTACTGGAGAACCTTCTTTCTAAGTGGAAGACTATATCCCTCATTGAGTGTTTCACCCAGATCTCCTTGGTTATATTTTCTGGGGCCACTGAAGCTTGCCTCCTTTCAGTCATGGCCTATGACCGATTCCAGGCTGTGTGCCACCCACTGTTGTATGTTGTGGCTATGAACAGGAAGGTATGCACTGGCCTAGTGGGAGCATGCTGGGCCATAGGAATGGGGACCAGCCTGATTAATGCTCTCCTCTTGGCTCAGCAGTACTTCTGTGGCCCCAACCTCATTCACAGTTTTGCCTGCGAGTTTCCCCCTATGCTCCTGTTGACCTGTTCTGACCCTTATTCCAGCATTGTCTGTATCTTGACCACCATGGTGGTCCTGGGCCTGGGCACCCTTCTCCTACTGCTGGGTTCCTATGGCCGTATCATTATGACAGCTCTAGGAATCAATTCTGCCAAGGGTCGGAGCAAGATCTTCTCCACCTGCTCTTCTCATTTCCTTGTGATCACCATCTTTTATGGTTCAGGATTTTTCAGGTATGTCATACTATACCTTCTGAATGGAAGTGTGGAGTATTCCTCACCTTAAAGTGGTTTTGGTCTTTATACCAAAAGTATTGTGAAGTAGCAGGAAAAATAATTATACTGGAATTCAGAAGGCTTGGATTCTAGTCTTAGCTCTATTGAAAGTTAACTGTGACTATAAAGAATCTATTTTATTTCTGAGTCCTCAATTATCTTCTCTGAAAAAATAAGCTTAGACAAGGACTAAATATTTTCCTTCTTCATTAATCTATGATTTGAGAGTTCTGAAAAGAAAATCAGAGAGCCTTTGGTAGATATTTATTCCATGCCAAAACCAAAAAATCCACGGCCATCAAGTCCATTCCAACTCGTGGAGACCCTCAAGGACAGAGTAGAATGGCCCCATAGGGTTTCCAAGGCTGTAAACCTTTCAGAAGCAGATTGCCTCATCTTTCTCCCATGGAGTGGCTGGTTGGTTCAAACTGCCAACCTTCTGGTTAGCAGCCATATGCTTTAACCACTGCATGTCCAGAGCTCCTTTACTCAATGCTAGACAAAAATATAAAATGTATCATCTCTGAAACAATGGCATCTTTCTTTCCCACTGGAAGATGATGTCCCCAAAGCTTATTTGTGTAATAATTTTATTATACGTGCACTATATAGTAGCTGCTTTACATGGCCAAGCTCAATTTTAGTATGGATTATACTACAAAAGATACACTATTAACACTATTTTCAGATAAGAAACCTGAGATTCAAGAGTGACCAGTTAATTTCTCAAAGGTCCCATAACAAGCCAGTCATGAAGCCATCATTTGAACCAAGTTCTCATGGATTTCAAATCTCATGTTCTTTGTGGAAATGCTTCTCTCAAATATAAACAACTCTAGCTGAAGAGTCCTCCTTTAATTACTGGTGGCATAGAGGCTGGTAGAACCCCCAAGACTATGGCCCCAGGTTGTCCTTCAGGCCTGGAAATGGACTCACTTCTGTGGATTGTCTCTCAGCTCAACAGGAGAAAGACCCACAAGCAGAACACATAATCCAGGAAGATGCACCCCTTAGATCAATCAGCCATGAGACATCAGAGGGGCAGCATTCACATAGAAGGAAAGCTGGACAGGCAGGAATGCATAGGTAAGAAGGGCACAGGGGAGCAGTCACAAGGAGGAGAGAGGATGAGAGATTTTTATGGCTGGGGATTATAACGGGGGGCTGTGAAATCCCATGTGCATGAACTGTTGAGAGTAAAATGAATCTGCTTTGTAAATTTGCACCAAAATCACAATAAGTAAGTAAATAAATCTCCTTTACTAGGAGAGTGTATAATTAATACCTATGCTCTCTACTAACTGGAGGTGGATTTACATAAATTGCTTAATACTTTACTCACCTCTTGTAAGGCACAATTTATCCATGTGTGGAAAGGGGGAGGAAAAAAAGTCTCCATATTTTCATCATAACTATTATGGAAAGATGATTTGAAGGGAAATCAGAAGGTGGAAAAGTATGGTAAGAAATGGCCCAGGAGAGCTTGCCTGAGCCTCATAGAAGAGCTCACCAGCCACAGGCATTACTGCAGACAAAACTCTTCATCTCTCTTTGTCTCAATTTCCTCAGATGCTACATAAGGACAATAAGATTTCTTCTATATATCACAGAAATACTAGGAAGAGTACATTAGATAATGAATAATGACAGTGAAATGAATATCTTTTTAAGACTAACTGACTAAAATCCACATGGTACATTGTTGGGAGAATCTACACTTATTCCAATCATGATGGTGTCATCTATCTATCTCTCTATCCCTCTATCTATCTGCCTATCTATATATGGGAGCTCTGGTAGTGTAGTGCCTACGGCACTTGACTGCTAACCAGAAGGCTAGTGGTTCAAATCCACCAGCCACTCCTCAGAAGGAAGGTTGGGCAATCTACTTCCATAGTGATACTGCCTCGGAAACCCAAGGGGGGGTCGCTATGAGTCAGGCCCGACTTGACAGTACATAACAACAACAACAACAACATGTGTGTGTGTGTGTGTGTGTATGTATAATAATACTTCTTTATTAAATAGTTTATCTAGGACTTAACAAAATATACCAAAAATTTATTCTCATAACTTTGAAGTCATATCTTGTTTAACACATCTTTATCTCCTACTTTATTTCAGTCTTGGCTTCTAATGATGATTGGTCTTTTCCAAACCAAACTAAAAGGACAAGTATTTGTTCCACTAAGTATTTTTTGAACAATGGGCTGTGACTCTGAGGGTAATTCCAATCTCATAGCTGTTGGGAACAATGGCAGCATCATTAGACTAAGCACAAAGTTCTGACAGGAGCAATTGTCACAAGATGAGGATATAACGTGTCTTGCTGTTGTTGTGTATATGGGGGGGAATCCCCATATTATCTTTATAACTATAATGTAAAGATGTTTTGAAGAGTATGAAGTGCTACAGAAATTCATGAAAGTATTATTATTAGTTCTATTCTAACTGACGACCTTTGCTATCCTGTAGAATTTCCTTTTTCCCCAGAGCAGTTTCTATAACTTTCTGCACTAGGTCACTCATGTTTAGAGACAATATGAAGGCAGAAATGATTGGCTTCTCACTGATCTGACAGTCATTTCTATATACTTCCACCAATAGTAGTTAACTCAGCTCTGAGACCCCTTTCTAGAGTCCCCAGGATGGAATGGACAACTGCTGCCAACAGTATTGTGGCTGATGTCCTGAGCTTAGGTTTGCTCCTTTGTGCAATTTCCTTCAAGGTACATGACTCCAGCATCTGGCTCAGTCCTGGAGCAAGTGCTTTCCGTGCAATACAGTGTGGTGACCCCGCTGCTAAACCCCCTCATCTACAGTCTGAAGAACCAAGAGGTGAAGGCAGCTCTGAGGAGGATGTTGGCCAGGAAATCCAGACTTGCTTTCTAGCCCAGGCTCCACTGCTTCACCAGGAGGAAAAGTCCTGGGAAGAAAATGAGACAGGAAGAGCTATCATCACTAAGCTATCTCAGCATTCATCCCTACCTAAAACAGTAGTCTTAGTTTCTCTGTCTCCAATGTCCCCTGAGTAAACCTCCACAGAGTAGGTCATACCTGTCCACAGGGTGCCCAGTCACTGCACAAGAAAATCCTGAGAGTCTCACATTTCTACAGCTATTGATTTTTACTCTTATTTCTTGTCATGTCTATCTACTCCTGTCCTTTCTGCCATTCACTCTCGTTTTTACTTTTGTCTATGAAGTTACACAAAGTATAAATCAAATACCCTACTCATTTTGGGAGAGTCCCATCTTGGGCCCTGCAAGACCCAACTCTCCCTTTATTCTAATCTCAGAAAATCCCTGGAAAGATCCACATCTCCATAACAACTTAGAAAGAATAAAATACGTGTGTCTCCACCAGTCTTCTTTCTTAACAACTAGCTTCTAATGTTGTTTTTGTTAGATGCCATTGAGTCGATTCTGACTCACAGTGACTCTATGTACAACAAAACGAAATATTGCTTGGTACTGTGCCATCCTCACAATCGTTGCTAAGCTGGAGCCCATTGTTGCAGCCACTGTGTCAATTGTCTCATTGAATTTTTCCATGACCTTCTACTTTACCAAACATGATGTCCTTCTCCAGGGTCTGGTCCCTCCTAATAATATGTCCAAAGTATGTGAGATGAAGTCTCACCATTCTCACTTTTTTTTTTGGTCTGTGATTGGTTGTTTTTCTTTTTTTTTTTTTAATTGTGATTTGGGTGAAAGTTTACAAAGCAAATTCATTTTCCATACAGCAATTCACACACACTTTGTCTCATGACATTGACTGCAATTTCCCACAATGCAACAGCTCTCTTCCCACTTCCTCCCCACAGTCACCTCTTCCTTGTGTCCTTCCCTCCCATACACTCTTGTGCCATGCACAACCCTTCTATTCTCCCATGATTGATCTCCAAGGAGTGTATCTACCTAATGTAAATGTTCAGCTCATATGTCTGCCTTTTGTTTGTCTAGAAGCCCCAGGAGTGGGTTCAGTTCCAGACCTGAAGGGCAGATAGGGGTCATAGTCTCAGGGGTTCCACCAGGCTCTATCAGACCAGCAAATCTGGTCCCTTTCTTTTTATGATTTTGAGTTTACACCATCATCACTTTTAAGGAGCATTCTGGTTGTACTTTTTCCAAGACAGATTTGTTCTTTCTTCTGGCAGTCCATGATATATTTAATATTCTTCTCCAACACCATAATTCAAAAACATCAATTCTTTGCTCTTCCTTATTCATTGCCCATCTTTCATATGCATACAAGAAAATTTAAATACTATGGCTTGGGTTAGGCACACCTTAGTCTTCAAAGTGACATCTTTGCTCTTTAACACTTTAAAGAAATCCTTTGCAGCAGATTTCCCAAATGCAATACATCTAGCAAATAACAAATCCTCAATAACTGTTTGTTGAAAAACTAAGGAATGAATCAAGAAATGAATGAAGGATTCATCTAAAGAATCCTTTCTCTTGTGGTCATAGGAAACAAAAGGTGGTGAGTATCCCCCTTTAAGATACAAGCATCTTGAGAGCAAAACCCCTATCTAATAGTTTCTGTATCCCAAGTGTCTAGTACAGTCCTGTCACATAATAGGCTGTCAGTTAGTGTTAGATAAATGAAAATAATGAGTGAATGAGAGAGAAGAAGGTGTGGAAGAAGGAACAGAGGGAATTTTAATTTAACTTTATCCAGTAAAATTTCTGCTTTTGCAATAAGACACATCAGAGGAAAGTAGCAGGGAGCAGAAATAAGGATAGGATAGAAAGAGAATCCATACTGTTGGGCACAGCCTGGGTTCTCCTCACAAAGGACTTAGTGAATGGTCTGTACCCTGACAGCCCCTGCCCTGAGCCTCTCTACCACCACCCCCACCTTAGCCTGGACCACTTCTGGTTTCAAGTCTTGAGGGAAAGAGTTGGAGAAAGCAGAATAAATGCTCAGCTGCCACCCCACCTCCCATTCAGCTCCCAAGATAGTTATCAAGAATAGAGCAACAGTAGTTTCCTGTCTTGCTTTTACCAAAAGCCAAGAAAGCTGCATCAGTCAAGACTAGTTCTACACCAGAAACTTGGTCTCTATCTGTTCTTGGTCTTCTGACCCTCAAGGTAAGACTTTTTCTACAAATAAATCTTTTATCATCAGGATCCTTCAGCAAAGACCCCTTAAGTTCAGGGCCTCACATATGAGTGTACCAATCTTCATAAGTGAAATTTTCTCATCTTTGTGGGATGAAGGACAGAGCTGTGGGGCTAAGCAACATGACCCAGCTTTAGTTGCATTTCTGTTCTATTCGTTTTATGAGGCTGATGTCTTCTATTTTCCAGAGCACATGGCTTCATGCTGGTGTAGCTGAGCAGGGCAATAGGTAAGAAGTAGATATGTAAGTTCAATGGGAAGAATGGTCATCCAACCCTGACCTCCCATAAAAACTCACTACCGTCAAGTCCATCCCAACTCAAAGCAACCCTTCCTTGGGTTTCTGAGGCAATATCTCTACAGAAGTAGATTGCCCAGTCTTCCTTCCAAGGAGTGGCTGATGGGTTTGAACCTCCAGCTTTCTGGTTAACAGTCAAATGCCTTAGGCACTACACCACCAGAGTCCCTTGACCTCCTGTACATACCCCTATACACAGGATTGATTCCTGAAACGTTGTGGACTTGAAGAAAATCCTTTTGTCTCCTAATTAGAAAGGGAACAGCATGTAATGCCTCTGGGAGAAGCATCACCCTGTATTTAAATTCTTACTAAAATAATATGACTAATACCAAGTATTTCCTGACAGGTTATTGTCACTAGATATAGGCTAAGGATGGGCTCCCTGTCTCTGGCCTTATCCTACAGAGACCATGGTCTTCATTTGGGAGCCACTGATCCCTAAGACTAGGAAACACGGCCTGGCTGGCTAAAGTCCCAATGGTATGAGAGTTGAGAGGAGTGTAATCAACAATATTAGACTTCTTTGGAAAGCAGAAAGAAGATTTCATTCCCAACTAATTAAGAAATGTGGTTAATTAAGTTGGAGTTTTGGAACGCTACATTGTCAAAGTAGAAAAAGATCTCAGAAAACTATCTAGACCAAAAATCACATTTTGAGATGAGGAATTTGAAGCATAGAGGACAAAGATGACCTCTGGTTCACACCATTAAGAGTAGAAGTAGTACTTGGTTAATTGCCTAGGAGTAGGATCACTTGGACGTGTGGGGGAAAGAAAAAGAAACAGACATTAGGACAAAAATCTCCTCACGCTTCTGTTTTCAGATATCCCATAATTGTTAGAATAAATAAAGTCCTACATAGTTCCTCTGTTAAAAACAAACAAAGCAGCAAGGAGGAGTAATGTACGGCAGGGTCCCAACCAAAAGACTCAGATTCATAAGAATTACTTAGCTAACTGCAACAATTCTCCTATTCCAACTCTGGTGGTGTAGTGCCCAAGGCATTTGACTGCTAACCAGAAGGTTGACGGTTCAAACCCACCAGCCACTCCATGGAAGGAAGACTGGGCAATCTGCTTCTGTAAAGATTTACCACCTTGGAAATCCAAAGGAGGTCACTATGGGTCAGAGTCAACTCATTAGCAGTGAGTTTGGTGCTTGGTTTTTTGGTATCTATAGTTTCAGGATAAACTCTCTCCCAGCCCCACAGTGAAGGATATAACCTTATGAAAAGGACAAGGAAATTTCTCACCCCTCTCGAGTCACTAATTTCAGATTCTTGGAGCCCCTGCCCATGTTGCTTTTTCCCCACCCCACCTGTCAAAATCAAACCTATACTTCAAAAACAGCTTAAGTACCACCACTTTTATGAGTCCTTTCCTGGTCCCTTTTTTCCACAACATCCCAAACATAAATGATTTTTCCTCTTCTGAATGACCAGGGCACATGATTAACCTCTCTCAAGATGCTTATAACACTAGTCCTTGTGTAATATATACTATGTGTGTGTGTGTGTGTGTGTGTAACCATTCATTAATTTTTGTCTTTACTACTAGTCCTTGAGAGAAGAGACCCTTTTAGCCAACTTTGGATTTCCTCTATGGTTCTTTGAATATATTAGGTGATCAATAAAAGTTTATTGAACTAAATTGATACAGGAAATAATCCCCATTTTGTTGTAATTTCAGCCACTATCTCTTCAGTAAAGATAAGAGATAGTTATGACTTATGACTCCAGTGTTCACCCATTCACTCTGTTTCCTCCAGGAAGAAAATACATTCAGCCATTCAAAGGCAGGCCTTTTATTCAGGACAGAGGTGGAATTTGTTTCTGCAGAGAAAGTTCCATCAGAGGCACTGATCAAGGGTTTAAATTCCAGTGCACCAGTCACACATTCCTGTAGAATAGTCCTCAAAGTCCAATGATGTCACTACAGGGTCCAAGGCTCAGAGACAAATCAGCTTCAGGAGAGTAAAAGGAAGTAAACTGAGGTAGCTGTAGGGAAGACTTCCAGGAGCAGAGGAAAGGTAGGAGCAGCAAGGGCACAGGTGCTCACAACTTCTTGCAGAGCCACTGATCCAATTCCTCAGAACACAGAGGTTTATGAGCCAGCCTGGTAATGGAGAAGGAGGTAAGCTGGAGCTTAGCTTAAACTTTCATCTAGCTTTATCATCAAGAGGGCAGAAGTGGAAGAGTGTGGATGAGAATTACAGAAAAATTTTCTCACCTAGATGGCAAGGGACACCGAGTCACCTAATGAGGTAAGGTCCATACTCCCCAAGTCAAGAAAATTGCAGGGATTAAAAAAAAAAAAAAAAAAGATGTGCTTGCTTTAGGGTCTAGAACTAAAAAGCAGAATTAGATGTTCAAGGTCAGGGAAAAGGAGGACTGTATTTCAGCCTTTTATCAGGGAATCCCTCTTAGGAAAGTTGTAAGAAAGAGTGGAGCAGAGAAGTTTTAGGAACTGAAGACTTGGATCCACTCAATGAGTTCTCTTATGGAGACTATATTCTATATTAAATGACAAACTGAGAGAGAGAAGGAAAAAGGGCAATAGTGCTAGGTCTAAAGGGGTAAGGAAAAAGAGGGAATGGAAAATAAACAATAAAATGAAGATTTACCAGTGGTCAATTCCTTCTTTATCCAGGATCTTCTTGACACACATTATGTCATCAGTAAGATCATCATCCAAGAACTCTAGCAGGAGTTTCAGGAGAAAGAATAAAGGAGTTAAGAAGTATTACCCAGAAAGTTGATGGGTTTTCCTCTTCCCTAGATCCTGTGGGTCTGGCTTTTCTCTGAACTGAAGATTTATGTATGTTTTCTTTCTATCTAGGAAGGACAATATGATAATGCTTCCCTCTGTGTAGAAGCTCCCCCCATGCCTCTGGAAAGTCTCTGGAAGGGTTGTCAACTTCATCAATTTGATTTGGCCTGAAAATACTCTGAATATCAGGCTTTAAGACTCCTAGAAAGCTCAGGTTGCCTACCCTTGAACCTCAGGGGACTGACTGGGATTTGGTAATCATGAAAAATCCCAACAGCTTTTTACTCAGCACTGCCAACTCAAGTCCCACGGTTGATGTGGAGCCCAGCCAAAGCAGTGAGGCAAGATATGTGCTTGACACTGAAAAGGAAATTACCCCAGGGGCAAGCTCCAGAAAAACAGAGGAAGAGAGTAAAAGCAGTTACTCACTGTCACAGGAGATGTCACAGATGTTCCTTGACTGAGGGATTTGGTCATCCTTGCACCAAGATTTATTACTGATCTGGAAGAGTCCATATTCCGTGCTTCCATTGTTATGAACTATGGCTTGTGTATTATAACTATTCATATGAAATAGGGTACAGCTCCCTGAGGGAAAGACGGGAAAGAGATATCCAATAAGTGTCCAGGCTCAGCGTAGATGAGTGCCTGTGATCCCCAGTCAGAAAAAGGCTCTACAGTCAATCTCCAAAGATAGCAAAGATCAGACAATAGGAACAAAGAAAGACAGGAAAAGAATTGGGATAAAAGTAAACTGAGAAGCAAAGAAGATAAGATCATTGTTAGGTAATTAGAAGTGAAGGAAAGCAGTGGAGAGAAAAGTATGATGGGGGAAAGAATCAGATAGGAAGTGGGACAAAGTAAGGGAGCAGTGAACTCACATTCTTGTAGAGTGATGCCTCTATAACCAACCAAGTCTTTCAGCACCTGGCTCAGCTCACATTTTGTAAATTGTTTGGCCTGGATAGCAGGGAACAGTATGCCTACCAGGAGCAGAGGGAAGAAGGACATCATTTTGGCTGCCCCAAGAATCTGAAATGGGGTGCCACTCAGTTCCACCTCCTTTTATCCATGAAGAAAGACTCAGAGGCCCTGGCACAAAGCCCTACGTTCAGGAGGAGGATAAAGGAGATTGGTCATGCCACAAAAAAGAAACACTAACCCTGCCAGCTTCCTTCTATAATTTCACACTATGATTCCTTCCCCTTCTCCCAATCTTTAGTCCATACTAAGTATTGTTCTCTGCCCAGACAGAGTTCCAAGCATGACCCTGATTACCACTTGGCTTTGTTTATATTATACCTTTGTTTCTTGTAGGGTTGGTTCCAGGAAGCAAGATGTGTTAGCCTACTTCAGGAACAAAGGAGGTCTCAGGAACAATACAAATGTGACAATCAGAAAATATAATAAGGGCCCATGGCCAATTCCCCATGCCCCCTAGAGACAAACAGAATGTGGAAAAGGAGTGTATGTCTTCACACATCTTGGTCTCAGAATCAAGGCTATGACTTGTCCAGCTAACCCAGCCATGGAACAAAGCCTGAGAGAATCTCTGGTTCATGGGTAAGAGCTCAAGAATAGGGATATAATATGGGAACACAGACTATAAGAATCAAGTATAACCTGGATCCAGAGACTTTCTACTTAGGAAAAATGGAGAACTTGAAAAGCATGCATGGCAGCATCTAGCTATCCTATAAGTCATTGTTAGAGCCCCAATCCCAATCTCTACTACCACTAAATAACCAGATACTACATTGTCATTGTTTAAAACATTATGTAAGTTCAAGACTAATAATGTGAAACAGATGTGTTCATGAGTCAAGGAGCTTCTAGACAGTTTCAGAGTTAGTCACAGACAATTAGAAAACGGGTGACCTAAGTCAATGAGAAGAAAAAGCCCTTTAAGATTGGACTTAAGCATTTTAAGGTAAGATCAGGATATATCTGGAGTCTATATAAAAACTTTCTGAACCTGAACTTTAAGGTAAGCGCAGCTGAGAAGGTAGAGTTAAGAAGACACTGGTTACTGAATAATTTCTGTAACTTGTCAGTATCAAGCTTCATGTCGTGGTGCCTGTAGCTGTCAGCCTCCTTACTGTCAGAGCTTTTTATCCAAACCCTTAAACCTGATTTCTTTCATTGCCATGCATATCTATCTCAGTCAAAGTAATTAAGACTTCTAGACTGAAGATTTTTCAAACTAGTATCTTGTACCTCTCTCCAGAGTCAAGGAAACCTCCTTTCTATTTAATCTCTTCTTCTATACCAGGAGTAACCAGTATGTGGTGTGGCATGAGTAAAATTACTGTGGAGAAAACTACAAACAGGCCTATGAGGTGAACAGTAATATCAGGAGTGTAGGCACTCATTAGAACAATCAAGAATATGAGATTAAGAGGACAGCATTTGCCCAGGGATAGAAGTAGGAAGGTGGGAGGGGATGGAAAGGAAGAATGAAGGGAAGGGGTAAGCAGGGAAGAAATGGGAAGAAAGTTGTTAAAGTGTGGGGATTGCAGTAAATGTCACAAAACAGAATGTGTATGGATTGTTGAGTGGAAAGAATTTGCTTTGTAAATTTGCACTCAAATCACAGTAAAAATTAAAAAAAAAAAAAAAAAAAACTAGTATGGAGGATCTCAGCATGCCAAGAGAGATGAGTAGAAAGTCCTAAGAACAAAAAGAAACACAATAAAAGTTTTCCCATTGCAACTCTCCTCCCTTCCACCCAGAGACATTGGAGAAGTGCGTGAAAGACAGGGATAGAAATTCTATCACACTTAGTAAACTTTGTTGAGAATATAGTTAGTGGGAGGATGACCTTCACAGATAACAGAAGCTAGTCCTCCAACCTAGTCTTTTCAATAATGGTGTCCTGTGCAAAATGGTTCCTTCCTAGGGTACAGACTGAGACAGAGTCATATGATGGTCCAGGATCTCAGGAATCACAGGAACTTTCTCCACTTCCAACCAGTTTGAGACCATGGCAGAAGACTGTTTGCCTATCCTTACATCATATCTCTGTGTATAGGCAATGAAAAGGAGCATCTAGGTCAGGAATCACAACCAAGTGAAGAGAAGAAAATAAATGTGCCTTGAGCAAAAGGAGTCATTATTTCCATAGAAATGTTTGTACAATAAAATACCTGAGAGTTATCTGAAAATGAGGATAGAAGGTGTCTAATAGGAACAATTCCAAACATTCAGAGAAAGATGTAGATTCTTGGAGATGGTCTAATGAAGAATAGCAATGATCACAGCACTGAACTAGGAAGTGTATAGAAAGACATGAGTGCAGCTAATAGAAGAAAGTGCCTGCCAAAATCTCCCTCTTCAGATAGGTTTAGTTAGGGTGCTTTACATGGAGGCTATGATCTAAATCAAGGAGATAAAGAGGCATTTACAATCCATTTTTCTGGATTTTTCAGAAATGCCCTGAGAATCTGTGTTCATTTTCTCAGGCATTATGGTGAAAATCAGAGTTTCTCAAACCAGGAATCATCATTTTGAAGGACCTCTAAAGATCAAAGAATCAGGAGCATTTGCTTCAAAACACAGTTGGCAGTGGTCATCCAAAACTGCAGTTTGTAGGTGACTTTACAGAGAAAGCCAAGATCTAGCATTTGAAGGGAACATGCTTGATGTCCATAATAATATTGCTCGTTACTTCTAATGGTTAACATCCTCACCTTGGTCTACTTCCTCCCATAACTCAAGTGAATGAATTATCATCAGGTAGACAATGAAACTAGCTTTTGAAACCCTATGGTGCAGTTCTACTCAACAACAGTGTGTTTTGTTTTGTGTTTGCCTTGCTTCTGAACCTGAACCAGTTTTCAGAACTGGAACTCATTGACTAAAAGAGAGCCCAGATGCCTAGAAAGAGGAATCTTGCAACATCATGGCAGTGCCTATGATATTGAATCTCCCAAGTTCTTCCCTAAAAGGGCCTATGGCCATTAACTAGAATAATCATAAATGAGGAAAAAGTAAATACCTAAACATATCTAGGACAGTGGAACCCAAGATGACAGTTGACATTGATACCTGGAAACCCAAATCATCGCCAAGACCCCCTGTTAGAGTGGGTGTTTAAGGTGGGCCTGGTACTAAAAAAATCATCACCTAGCTCCAGCTCACAGAGAGTCTACTGGATTCAAGGACTCACCCAATGTTCATTCTCTGGCCACTGAGTATTGAAGTTGAATGGACATACTTAGTGGTTAGCACAATGCACACATTGACTCCTTAACCTGTTAGGTAAGAGCTCTCATATAAGTGAAGACCAAATAGAAACTTCTGTTCTCTGGCCAAGATAATAAATCAAAAACAAAATTACATCCCAATGCCATCCTGGAAAATAAAGATGGTATTCCTCAATGTTTCCATTTATTTCACCAATATGGTCACTAGAAAAACCACATGGATCCTGCAGGATGACAGTGGACTACTCAGCCACTTTAGGTTAGTAAAGTGTGGTAATTTTATTAAACCAGATGAACATGGTATCAGGTACATGGTATGTGGTCATTGACCAAATGAATGCATTCATGCATCCCTATCAGAAAAGAGTATCAGAAACAGCTTTCATTAATTTAGGACTGACAAAGAATCTCCTGCCCTCTATCATTATGTAGTCCAAAGAGATCTGGACATGTTGGAGGCTTCAGCAAAACATATATGCTCAAGGTTGACAGCTAAAGCCTATGAGGATTCAGAGATGTACCATATCACTGAAGTTTTTAGAAGTTTGTCAGGACATGCTAAAATTAAATTAATTTAATTTAATTCTTCCAAATTAAAGGACAAAATTATTGCACCTTTCTCCTAGTACCTCCAAGAGAGCACAATGCCTGGTGGATCTCTTCAAGTTCTGAAGGCAGCATGTTTCATACTTGCAAATGCTACTATGAACTATATAGCAAGTGAGATAAAAGGCTGTCAGCTTTAAATGGACACATAGCAGAAGAGGGCTACCCTGCCCTACATCCGTACAACTTAATGCACCACATAGTAATAGGGGCATCAATGATTGGAAAACACATGTGGGTTTTGGCCAGTCACAGTAGAGGAACCACAATATATATCTTTAGGGTTCTAGAGGCAAGGCTGTAACCTCTTCAGAGGATAATTATATATCTTAAATTTTAAAAATAATAATAATAAAAACAATTCCTTCTGGGTACTGGTAGAGATGAAATAGCTGACCATGTGATATCAAATAACCCTGCATCCAGAACAGCCCATCATGAGTTGTATTCTCTCAGCCCTACAAAGGCATAAGGTGGACAGGCCCAGCTGTAATCCATTATAAGAACCATTTGAGACTGGCCATGAACAGGGTTAGAAAGCACAATATGCTGCAAAAACCATGCCATATACCCCTGTTGTCATATACCTTCTGTCACATACCACTGTTGCATTATGGCCTTTCCCTCAGATCCCAGTCAAAGCTACTTGAGAGGTCCATTATAATCAGCAGACGGGAGAAGAGAAAGAGTGAGGTCAGTTCATAGATGGGTTAGTGTGGAATGTGGGTTCGAGAAGAGACTAGACTGTGGCAGCCCTACAAATGGTCTTGAGAATGGTGAATGGTCTTGAGAGAAGGTGGTAAGAAGAAAGACTTCCAAAAGGAAGAGCCTCAGGCAGTGTAGTTGGCCATCCATTTAGTGTATGAATAGAAGTACTCCAAGATAGATAGATAGATAGACAGACAGACAGACAGACAGATAGATAGATAGACAGATAGACAGATAGTCAGACAGACAGACAGATAGTCAGACAGACAGATAGATAGATAAACTTCACTGAAAGTGGCAAGTGGCTTAACTGGTTTGCCAGAGATTTGAAAGGAGAAAGATTGGAATAGGTGACAAGGAATACAAGATCAGAGAGGAAGCATGAGGATGGATCAAAGGGAGAAGACATGAAGTATGAGGATTTTTGTATTACATATTAATACCCACCAAGAGCATCCACCACAGTTGTTGCTAAGTGCTGTGAAGTCAGTTCCA